GCATGCAGTGCTCTTAACCACTGAGCAGATATCTCTCCAGCCCTGTCCTTCTCTTCAAGTCAGTTTTACTTCTAGAAGCTCCTCCCTTAAGCAGTGCTGACTAGTTTGGGAGCCTCACAAGAGTCAGTACATCTGTCACTTCACATTGTCCCTTAGCTCCATGGACACAGTTTGTGGAAAAAATGCAGATGTCATCATGTGTCACATGTTTTCAGGTTTAGACCATCTTTTCACAGGGAGAACTTGTTGGCAGTTTGATCTTACCAAGAGCTTTTTGATCTTTCAAGATAGGGTTTCTGTTTGTTGCTCTGGCTGTCCTGAGACTTGCTTTGTATACCAGGCTGGCCTCAAATTCAGAGATCCCCTGCTTCTGCCTCCTGAGTGCTGGGATTAAAGGTGTAGGCCACTGTGACCAGCAATGTCAAGTGCTTTTGCTTTTCCGAATTCCTCCACAAGTGGAATAGCCTTCAGACTTCAGGGCTGCTATAGTTTGCCCACTGTTTTGTCCACTCATTTTGTCCTGATTGTGCTCCTGTATAAGTTTAAATCATGCTGCTACTCTTGGCCATCTACATAGTATCTTTGTTCACTTTGACAGCCCTTGACCTCTAAGTCTTTGATGGTAAAGATTCTGAACAGATGGTGGTAGCACACACTTTTAATCCCAGCACTCAGGAGGCAGAGGCAGGGGGATCTCTGTGAGCTCCAGGCCAGCCTGGTGTATAGAGTGAATTCCAGGACAGGCCCCAAAGATACACAGAGAAACTCTATCTTGGAGGGAAAGGTAAAGGTTCTCTTATCTAACCTTCTAGTCGTGGATCTTTTCCAGATCGTTCAGTTTGGCATGAATGAGAAGGTGGGGCAGATCTCATTTGACCTCCCACGCCAGGGGGACATGGTATTAGAGAAGCCTTACAGTGAAGCCACGGCGCGGATGATAGACGATGAAGTGAGGGTCCTCATTAATGACGCCTATAAAAGAACTGTGGCTCTTCTCACAGAGAAGAAGGCTGACGTGGAGAAGGTGGGTGCCAGTGTGGAGAGGATTCTCACGAGTGCTTCCTTTGCCCACAAGTGCGTGTTTGTATGTACGCGTGCACATGTGCGCTTGCGCTCATGTGCTTGTGTTTACGAATGTGTGCGTGTACTCAGATGTCAATCGAATGATAATTCTGTGGAGTTGGTTCTCTCCTTCCACCATTATGTGGGTTCCAGGGGTTAAATTTAGATCATCAGGCGTGCTCAGCAAGTGCCTGTACCTGCTGGGCCTTCTTGCCAGCCTCATTGGTTTGAGACAGGATTTTGCTGTGTAGAGCAGGCTGGTACCAATCTTGCTGTGATTCCCCTGCCTCTCCCGAGTGCTGGAATACAGGGTTGAGTCGCTATGTCTGGCTCTCTGCAGATGGTTTAGTTGGTGTCTAGACTCAAGAATCCCTTCCTCCCGACTGCCTCCTGTGTTTCTCCCCTCTGGTGCTGTCTTCCCTGTGCCCGGCGAGCAGAAGCAGCACTGTTCCGGTTCTTGTGTTAGGTGAGGAAAGTCTGTGAACAAGCAAAAGAAAATGTTAGGGCCAGCCTCATTCTGTGTGAGACTTGCCAGAATTCCATGAAAGTAGTTAAAATAAGGAGAAGCTGCCAAGCTCGGGCTTGGCAGAGTTTGCAAGCACCATGGGGGGAGAGGGTGCTTTATCTCACCCCTGCCTAGATAGACTTCGTGTAGTCAGTGTCTACCAAAGAAATGTTTGGTGGAAGGAAAGTGTGTTGAGCAGGGTAAGGATCCTGACACACAAAAGTACTTTCTGACCCAGCAGAGAAAGGAAGTGATGAGGAGGGTTGAGCCAGCCGGGGGACCAGTCTACTAGAGGAGAGGGCTTGAAGACTTTGCCCAGGGGCTCAGTTTGCCTCCCTGTGGAGTGAAGACTTGGCAGGTTGTCTGGGCCCTTCTTCAGGATAAGGGGAACTAGCTAACAGGACCAGCTAAGCCTGCAACCTCCTGAGGTTCTTGTCATTGTCCTCACTTTACAGTGAAGAAACAACACAGAGAGGTCATGTGATAGAGTGGCAGAGGCAGGGTTCTGACCCTGCTGCAGCCTTTGCAAGTGCCCTCTCCACTTGTGTTGTGTCCTTGACAGTGGTGGGCAGGTAGCAAGCACTTGGAACGTGACTAGCGCTGTGCTGTGAAAGTGCTCGGTTTATATGAGCAGATGTCCCTGGTGAGAGTTAAGATTTCAGTGCTTACGCATGACTGCACTGCGTTCTTGCATCTTAGGATTCCTAAAGCTTTCATGTCTCCTGAGTATTCACAATTAGTTGTAAGTGCACTCATTTTTGCTTGTATAAGGCTTCAGATGAGGAACAGCCCCAAGGTGACAGCCTCCTCCTCAGCACACAATCCACTCCTCCCTAACAGCAAGCACGAACTGCACTGCACAGTTGTGTTTCACTCACTTTCAGAGAAGTACGTGCACTCCGTTATCCCAGCGACATAATCCTTGATTGTGTAGATGTACCAAAATGTGTTTTCCTGTCTGCCTATAAAGGACATTTGTGCCTATAAAGGACACCTTACTCTAGACAATCATGTGATCTTATTTATGAGACATGTTTAGTTGTCTTAGATTTCTCACCCCCCCCCCCCCCAAGACAGGGCTTCTTTGTATAGATCTGGCTGTCCTAGAAGTAGCTCTTGTAGACCAGACTGGCTTTGAACTCAGATATGTATGTACACTGTGTGTGTCTGGTATTCTCAAAGACCAGAGAGGGAGTTAGACCCCTTGGAACTAGAGTGACAAGATGGTAGTGGGCTGGAACTGGACCCAGGTCCTCAGCTAGAGCAGCAAGTGCCCTGAGTCACAGTTACCTTCCAAACCCTTGGGTTTTTATTAGAATGCAGTCAGATATAAGTAAAAAATTTTAATTTTTGAGTAAAATTTGCTAAGTAGCTTTTAATGGTAATTCCTTATATTCCTTATATTTCAGGTTGCTCTATTACTGTTAGAAAAGGAAGTATTAGATAAGAATGATATGGTTGAACTTCTGGGCCCCAGACCGTTTACAGAAAAATCCACGTATGAAGAATTTGTGGAAGGCACTGGCAGCTTGGATGAGGACACTTCACTTCCTGAGGGCTTGCAGGATTGGAACAAGGAGCGGGAGAAGAAGGAGAAGGAGAAAGAGGAACCCTTGAACGAGAAGGTTGTCAGCTAGGCCCCGGGCTGGGGGCCACTTTACCTTGTCCTCCCTGGACTTCAGTTTGCAGTTTCAGCAGCAGCTGCCTCCAGCACAACAGCCCCGCTGCAAAGTGGGCTGCTGACTCAGCCAGCTGAGCAGAGGACCCCGTCTGCGGCTGCAGGAGTGCCAGCAACTGCCCTGCCAGGGCCTCTGAAGGGGGCTCTCCTGCCTGATCCTCAGCCTTGACCTCACAAACAGTGGCTGGAACAGCAGAGAGAGCACCACCTGCCAAGGCTGTCCTGGTAGAAGAAAGTTTCCCCACTCCATTCCTCCTCCTCTGATATCTCTACAGGAGTGCTAGGTGAAATTCAGTCGGAGTCCCAATAAGAATATTTTGATTCAAGCAAATATTTTAAAATTTGAATTCAGATCACTTACTCTTTTAATGGAATGGTTTTCTATAGAGAACTGTAACATATTTAAAAACACGAATTTATTGTGTAAATACGGATTCTTTTCATCAGAAATAAAAGGTGGACATTGTACTTTTTTTCCCTGAACATGTGAAGGGTCACTGTGCTGTGCTTATGTTTAGAAAACAATGTCAAGAAATTAAGCAGTCTTCATTTTTGAAGATAAATCCTTCAAATCTTACCTGGCTGGTCTGGTCAGCACCCACAGGAAGCTGCAGCCTTCCAGATTTATGTCCTGGACTGGTGCTATTGGATCCAAGAGTCAGTCTTGGATGTGGGTACTGGGAATTGACCCTGGGTCCTATGAGGAATAGCCAGTGTTCTTAACTCCAGCCTTTATTAAGTTTATGTGTGTGCAAGTACCCATGGAGGCCAGAAAGTATATCAGATCCCCTGCAGCTGGAGTTACAGGTAGTTTTAAGCTACCAGACATGGGTGTTGGGAACTAAACTTGGGTCCTTTGCAAGAGCAATGTGTATTCTTACTATTGAACCATGTCTCCAAACCCCTGTGCTTTGTTTTTTTGAGTATTGGGATTATTTATAGGTGTGAGCCACCATGCCTGTTTTGTATTTCTTTTAAGCTGCATTTTAAGAAAACATCCCAGCTTGCCTTGTGCATGGCTGATGTGGGGACAGTGTTCTTTTAGACCATGTCATCCCTGTAATAGACTTCCAGTGGAGGCAGGAACTATTTTTGATGGTATACACTCCAGCTCTGCATGATCATTTGCAGAAGGACCACATTCTCCCTCTTTCTCCCCACTGGGAGGTGGTAATTCAATGGAGACTTGTTCTGAGGCTGTAAGTACAGCCTACTTAGTCATGAGGGTATTAATGGTGATGAACCAAAGACATAGGGTCCTCGACAGAGAAGCAGTAATGGAACTTGAGGCTCTCTGTGGAAGGGAAATACTGGCCAGAGGCCTGGTTGCTTCTAGGGAGGAATTGGCCTTCAGTGGTTTGCAGGGTGGCCAGTTCTTAGCTTACCTGTAGGAACTCGAGTTTTCAGGTGGGTAAAGTGGCAACATTCCGTCCTTAAGCTGCCATGCCTGCCACAAGCCAAGTGTCTGGGGCTCCTCCTGCCCTCCCCACCTGCTCCCGAGAACAGCAAGAGGTGCCACTGTCCTGGCAAGCCTGAGACCCAGGGGCAGGAGAGGTGTCTCTTGTATTGGGAAGTTACACACATGGGGGGTCAGTTGTACCCACCTCACCTGCACAGGAATGGGTGTGGCAAGCTTTGTGCTACCATTTGAAGCCAGACCCACAGCAGATCCTTCTCCAGACAGCTCATAAAATCAGTTTCTGAAAAATGAGAACTACAGATCACATTGCTTTGATGAAGCTCAAGAGACCAAAGAACAGGTTTAGTATTTTATTATGAATGGATTGTCACGAAGTTCCATATTGTGTATTCCATTAAGGCAACACTGTGTGGCACTTTAGGGTGAAAACAAATCCTTACTCTAACCTCCCTACTAACTCTGATGGCTGGCCGGGCACTTAATGGAGGGTAGTTGCTGTCTTCAGCCCTGTACAGCCCCCTACTTAGCTTTCCGTGTTCCTGTGCAAAATCACCCTGGTCTGGTGGGACTGCCAATTGTCAGGTAAAAGAAAGTACTCTGTTCCAGATAAAACCTGGGGAACGGTGAGGTGTGTTTGGTTGAGAGGGGCCTGTGGGTTGAGAGGGGCCTGTGGCGCGCAGACCAGGGTACGATGCTCACACCATCAGGGCTAAGGAGAGAGCAGGTGTGCACCGTAGCATCTTAAGGCTCCCTATCCGTTGATCTCTTCTTCATCCTCATCTTCAAAAGCTTCTTCGACACCATTGATTGTGGCATCCTGATACTGTTGGTACTCGGACACCAGGTCGTTCATGTTACTCTCTGCCTCGGTGAACTCCATCTCGTCCATGCCCTCGCCGGTGAACCAATGCAGAAAGGCTTTGCGGCGGAACATGGCCGAGAACTGCTCCGAGATGCGCTTGAATAGCTCCTGAATGGCAGTGCTGTTGCCAATGAAGGTGGATGCCATCTTCAGGCCCCGGGGTGGGATGTCACACACGGCCACTTTGACGTTGTTGGGGATCCACTCTACAAAGTAGCTGCTATTCTTGTTCTGGATGGCCAGCATCTGCTCGTCCACCTCCTTCATGGACATGGGGCCCCGGAAGACGGTGGCAACGGTCAGGTAGCGGCCATGGCGTGGGTCGCAGGCAGCCATCATGTTCTTGGCATCGAACATTTGCTGTGTGAGCTCGGGCACCGTCAGGGCACGGTACTGCTGGCTGCCCCGGGCTGTGAGTGGGGCGAAGCCGGGCATGAAGAAGTGCAGGCGTGGGAAGGGCACCATGTTCACAGCCAGCTTGCGTAGGTCGGCATTGAGTTGGCCCGGAAAACGCAGCGATGTGGTGACACCGCTCATGGTAGCAGACACCAGATGGTTGAGGTCCCCATAAGTGGGTGTGGTAAGCTTGAGGGTGCGGAAGCAGATGTCATAGAGGGCCTCGTTATCGATGCAGTAGGTCTCGTCGGTGTTCTCTACCAGCTGGTGTACCGACAATGTGGCGTTGTAGGGTTCCACGACGGTGTCTGAGACCTTGGGCGACGGCATGACGCTGAAGGTGTTCATGATGCGGTCCGGGTACTCCTCCCGGATCTTGCTGATGAGCAGGGTGCCCATGCCCGAGCCTGTGCCGCCGCCCAACGAGTGCGTGAGCTGGAAGCCCTGCAGGCAGTCGCAGTGCTCACACTCCTTGCGCATCACGTCCAGCACGGCATCCACCAGCTCCGCACCCTCAGTGTAGTGGCCTTTGGCCCAGTTGTTCCCGGCGCCCGTCTGTCCTACAAGACCGCAAGATTCCAGAGAGGACATCAGTGACCTGCCTTCCACGGTCAATATTTTCTGAGTTAAGAGATGAGAGCAAAGGAACAGGAACCGGGCAACAGGTTCCCACCACAATGCCTAGAAAACAGATGAGCAGACCTGGTACCTCTTTAGACAGGCCAACTGCATACACAGGGGTGGGGGCCCTCTCACTAGAAGAGTGCACTTAGCAGGCAGACGTCCTGGACCTGGAGTCAACCCCAGGACATTAAACTAATGGTAAATAAATCCAGTCCAGGCTCTGATCTTATTTCTACATTTCTCTTTAGACAGGGTTTCTCTGCATGACCATTGTGGCTGTCCTAGAACTCACTCTGTTGAGCAGGCTGGCCTCAAACGTAGCCTCCTGACCAATGCCCAGCCGATCTTTATTTTTAAGATAACTTTGACACATAATTAAAAGTTCCAAGAGGACATGATATACACATCAGTTATTTACTTTCCTTCTTTTGAGCTTTCTAAACTTTGCACTGATCTGCAATCCAAAACACTTCCAAACCCCAGACTTTTGGAATACTGATCTGATGCCACTAGTGGAAAATTCCACACCTGACCTCATGTGAGAAGTCAGTCAAAAAGCAGAAGCCCTGAAAATACTGCATGGGACCACCATCAGGTTCTGTGTATAAAGTGTATAGTAAACATAACTCATGTTCCCTGTCCCACCAGCAAGGAAGCTTCTCATACACAGGAAAATATTTCAACACACCAAAAAAAATCTGGTTTCAAGGATTTTGGGGTAAAGGATTCAAGTCCTGCACTATATACATTTTTTTTTTTTTCTTTTTGGTTTTTCAAGACAGGGTTTCTTTGTGTAGCCTCAGCTACCTCTGTAGACCAGGCTGGCCTTGAACTCAGATCTGCCTGCGCCACCAATGCCCGGCTAGTAATAATTTTTAATATGAATGGGGTACCTCATTTATTACCCAATCTTCTAGGAATATTATTGCACATTTTCCTAGGAACTAACTATTGATTTTGCATCTATAATTGGAGACCAGCACAGACACAATTCCTACCTTCAAATTACATCCAGTCCAGTTGTAGAAAGGAGCCTAACCGGGTTACAGAGTTTTAAGTTTTATTGACAGTTCAAGTGGCTAGGAGAAACCATCTAGTCAGTCTATGTTATGTAGAGCAGTTCATTCTACTGGACAGGCTTCCTTTACAGGGAAACTTCGTTTCCTGAACACAGATCAGTTGTGTGTGCAAAACATGTAAGAGTAAATGTACATAGAAAGCCCCAACCATCTATGACACTAGTTACCTGCCTAAAGATATAACCCCATGGCCACTGTGGGGCTGAGGGGGTGCCCATTGTCACACACTTCACTTTTGTGATGTTTGGAAGGACATCTGAGACCCTTTGAATTCACTCTTAATGAAAACTTTAAGCACATTTCAATATTAAAAGGTAAGTTTACAGGCTGGAGAGATGGTTCAGCGACTAAGCACTGCCTACTCTCCCGCAGAACCCCATGTTCAATCCCTAGCACCTACATGGCAGCTCACAACCATCTCCAGTTCCAGGGGACCTCACACTTTCATACACACAAAAAGGTAAGTTTCTGCCCCCCCAACTTTGCCAGCCTCAGGAGGGTGCTAGACTCTCCTACCATCTATGCCCCACTGGGTGTGGTGAGGTTCCAGAACAGTCGACAGAGCAGCTGCATGGCTCCACACTGATCTGGGCAGACACCCGCTCCATGACTACAGCACACCTACTGGGCACACTGCCCCTCTAGCATCTCAGGCAGCCATTTTCTTGCTTTGCTTTTCTCTGGTCTAAGCTTGTCTAGGATGGGCCTCTTACACACAGGAGTTCTCTTCCATCCTATCTAGCTGTGCTGCCCAGTGAAGCCTAGCTGGGTCTCTTCCGAGAAGACTCTAAGGTGGTGGTAAGACACTATGAACAAAAGCAACTTGGGAAAGATTTATAGTCTATCATGACAGGAAGTCAGGACAGGAACTCGAGGCAGGAACTGATGCAGAGGCCATGGAGAGGGGCTGCTTACTGGCTTGCTCATCATGGCTTATTCAGCCTGCTTTCTTATAGAACCCAGGACCACCTGCCCAGGGATGGCCCCACCACAATGGGCTGGATCCTCCCACACCAATCATTAATCAAGAAAATGCTTCATTGGCTGGGAGGTGTAGTGCATGTATTTAAGTCCAGCACTGAGGAGGCAGATTTTTGTGAGTTCAAGACCAGCCTGTTCTACAGAGTGGGTTCCAGGACGGAGAAACCCTGTCTCAAAAAAAAAAAAAAAAAAAAAAAAAAAAAAAAAAAAAAGAAAGAAAGAAAGGAAGGAGGAGGAGGGGGAGAGAGAGAGAGAGAGAGAGAGAGAGAGAGAGAGAGAGAGAGAAAGAGAGGATTTGCACTGGTTTGCCCATAGGCTTTTCTTAATTGCAGTTCTCTATCCCAAATGACTCTAGCTTTAGTCAAGATGACAAAACACTGGGCAGCACAGATAGTCATTGTCTTCCTGAGCACCCACAAACTTGTGTCTGCCCCTTCCCACACAAGGCAGCAGGCCAGGTCAGAGCTCAAGACAGGCAATGAACATAACAAACCCTGGGGGCAACTTGGAATCTAGGGGCAACTTGACCTTGTACTGGGGACTCAGTGTAGACACATGGCTGCTCTACAGGAGGACCATGCACACAGACTGAACCCTAGCCATTCATCTGAAGTACAGAAAGCATAGAAGGCAGCTGCAGGCAAGACACAGGACCTCACACCAAACTCACTCAAAGCTGTGTTACAGTGAATCTGAACTCTCCCAGCAACTCCCTATTCATAGCACAGATTAGCCCCAAAGTATTCTCTCTTGACAAAATAAGGAAGCTGGCAACTTTTAAAAATATTTTGCCACTGTCTCATAGCAACAGATCATCCCTGCTTAAATATTTAGGGGTCATAAGTTGAACAGTTACATGATGCATTGGGCCATTAATAAACGACTCCAGCTTGTTAAACACAGGCTGCAAAACCCCGAGGCCTGGCAGGCACACTGCAGACGCCTAGAGTTTCTTCACAGTGCTCCCTCTAGTTTTCCTCCAACTCACACTGGGGGAAGAACTAAGCTGTCCAGCTCTGTGCTCCCTGGCTCCTTAGCTAGTCCTCCATCTCAAGGAAAACTACAAATCCACAAAGGGCCTTTAAGGAAACAGCCTGTCTGGCACTTAGCTTCCTTCCCACAATCTCCCTGGCATGACTGCTATGCAACCGGTAATTAAGAAAAGCAGTTTTGAAAGCATATGATCACTGGGAACTCAAATGTTAACTCTCACTTTTTAAAATTATACATTACTGATGCAGTTAGTTCCTTCCCCCATGCCCCCCCCCTTTTTGGAAACTGGGGTCTCACGAGGTAGCTTTGGCTATCCTAGAACACACTAGGTAGACCAGGCTGACCACATACTCAGATCCACCTGGGTCTGCCTCATGTGCTGGGACAAAAGTCACGTGCCACTACACCCAGTACCAGGTGTGTTTTTTAAACCATCTCAAACTATATCCAGAACTGAAACCATATGGATTCAGTCTTTTGGTGCTGGGGACAGGTCCTCACACACACTCTTCCCCTTACTAAGCCCTACTTGACTATGGTCTATTTTAATTTACCAAAGCTGCTCAAGTATGAGCCAGCTAAAATGAAATCATCCTGGAGTCAGCTGTAATTGGACAATTCCGAATGAGGGCATGAGTTCAGATCCTCAGAACCTACAAAGTCTGAGCATGAGTTCACTGGCCAGTTGGTATAGATGTAACAATGAAGAAATTTAAAATAATAAGCATTCGACAAGTGACGATTTTTTTTTTATGTCAGGACAACTTAAATTTTTTAAATATGCTTAGTGGGCAGTGGTGGTGTATGCACTCAGGAGGCAGAGGCAGGAGAATCTTTGTGAGTTCGAGGCCAGCCTGGTCTACAGAGTGGGTTCCAGGACAGCCAGCACTATAGAACACAGTGAAACTCTGTCTCGAAAAACAGACAAATATACAAACAATTAAACACTCTGGATTAGCCTTTAACCCCAACTCTTGGGAGGTACAGGCAGGCTATGTTTGAAGCCATCCTGGTCTATATAGAATGTTCCAGGCAAGCCAGGATTAAATAGTGAGACCCTGTCTCAAAATACATTCTTAACAGGGAGTGGGGGGACAATGGGAGAAGTTGGGGCTGAAGAGATGGCTCCAGAGGACCCAGGTTCAGTACTGGATATTAGCTGCCCATTAACTCCAGAGGATTCAGCATCTACTGGCCTTTGTGAGTACCCACACACACCTGCCACACTCACACACAAATAGAAATGAAAAAAATAAACTTGGGTGTGGTAGATTCAAGTTTCAGGCCAGCTAAAATTTGGGAAGAGCTTTAAATATCACTTTCTTGGGTTTGAGAGATGGCTCAGCCATTAAAGGCTAGGCTCACAACCAAAAATATACTTTTTTTTTGCATGTGTGCGCATGCACACTGTGTACCTGGTGGTGTGGACAGCATGCAGGTCAGAGATTGAAATATCTTTCTCCCTCACTCTTCTTAGTGTTTTTGGACAAGCTCACACCAAACCCAGAGATGACAGATTCAGCTACACTGCCTGGCCAGCAGGTACCAGGGATCCTCCTGTCTCCACAGGTACACACTCACTATACCCGGTTTTGTTTTTTTCTTTTCTTTAATGGATGCTAAGGATGGAATTTAGACCTCATGCCTATATGGCAAGCTCTCCATAGCCCCTAATGCCATTTTCTAACAGTTTTGAGGATACATAGGGTCAACTGAAAAACTAGATGATGCATAAGACTGCCTCGATCTGTGCTTGGTCTTGCTAATCCAAGAATCAACAGCTAGGAAGGTGAGGACAACCTTCCTTAACAATCTACATTATGCCGGGTGGTGGTGGCGCACACCTTTGATTCCAGCACTCGGGAGGCAGAGGCAGGTGGATCTCTGTGAGTTTGAGGCCAGCCTGATCTACAGATTGAGTTCCAGGACAGCCAGGGCTACACAGAGAAACCCATCTAGAGTTTGGGATGACCCAGTTTCATAACAGGGGTGCACCTGGGGCCCAGCAACCCAGGCCAGGTGGGGCTCTGAGCCCGACCCATGCCTATGGCGGGCAGGCAGTCAACCTGGACCATGAAAAGCTGCAGGGAAGCCATGACCATGCTGTGAACAAGTCATCACCTTCGCCACACACCTCCAAGGAACCTAACATTTTCTTTACAACAGACTTAAGGCATGTAAAAGGCTAGGGATTAATAACTAACATGCTGACTCTGACTACTCACGCTTTTGCTCCCCATTGAGGACAGACACCATCGACATTCTAGAAATTGCAATGTAACTTGAACATCATAAACATGCAGACCCAGAAACAAGCTCCTTGTACTCTCCCAAAGAGCAGGGATGGGGTCTGTGCCTTCCTCACAGAAGTGTTGGACAGCTGTTTGAACACGGGCCTTCAGGTTTCTCTGGGGCCAGTCTTGTGAGCGGTGTCTAAGGGTCTCCATTTAGCATAGACACTTTATACACTTTCGGGTTGTTTTGGTGACTCCTATAACCTTTTATTTCTGGGTTTGTTTTTGTGGTTCTGGGAATCACACCCATGACTTCCTTTATCCTATGTTTGCGCTCTGCCAAGCCACACCCAATCCTGATGAAGCAGTTCTCAGAGTACTATGTCACTACTAGGATAAATACTTGGGTATCAGCTTATTAAACTTAAACTGTTCGGGTAAAGGCAAGCTGGGTGTTGGTGGTGCACGCCTTTAGTCCCAGCACTTGGGAGGCAGAGAGAGGCAGGTGGGATCTCTGAGTTTGAAGCCAGCCTGGTCTACAGAATGAGTTCCAGGATAGGCTCCAAAGCTACAGAGAAACCCTGTCTCAAAAAAAAAAAAAAAAATAAGTTCAGGTAGAGACAGTTGTACTATGGTGGCACTTATCCTGTGGGAAGCCTGCCAAGTCTTCCTAAATGTTTATTATACTTTCAAGAGTCTACTCTTAAATCAAAATCAGAAAAAGAACTTCTGTGGGCTAATATACTCATGTTCTTTTTAAAAAATTTATGTATGCACCTATGTGTGTGAACACATGCATATATGAATGCATACATGCCCAGAGGCCAGAGAAGGATGCCAGTTAGTTTTATTCCGTCCATTTAAGAGTCCCCCTCTTCTATTCTGTTTCTTCCCCACTCCCCAGGCTGGAAGCCAGCAAGTCCCAGCAATCCTGTTGAACAGCAGGTGCCCTTAACCACTAAATCAGTATCTCCATTTCTCATAGTACCCTTTTGTTTGCTGGTTTAAGGCAGGTCTCCCACAGCCCAGACTGGCTTCAAACTCCCACACTCTGCTTGGGCATCCAAAGTGCTGAGATTTCAGGCCCATGCCACCACTCCCAGATCATTACAGTATTCTGTGTGTGAACACATGCATGTGGGTGCATGTATGCATGCAGGAGTTGTCAGCCAGAGAGCAATGCTGGGTCTCTTCCTCCATCAGGTCTGACTTAACTCTCTGATTTGGCTACATTATTGGCTTGCTGAATAAACCTCAGGTGTCCACCTGGCTCCGTGTCTCCTGGGACTGGAATATAGGTATGCAATGGAGTGCTGGGCTGTCAGGGATCTGAATTCAAGTCCTTGTGTTTGCAAAGCAAGCCCTCTACCAGTGAAGCCCTCTTCCCAGTCACCGCATTACCATGTTCTTTATAAGAACAAACATTGCTTCCTTGTCCTCATAAAGTTAATTAGTTACCATTAGCTAATTACATTATTTACCAATTAAAACTAAAGATCTTAGAATTATACACTAACATGGAGCATGGTTGCTAATACTCGGTGAAGGAAAAAAAAAAACCACATAATGGTGTAATTAAAACAGAAGACAATTAGAATAAAGACAGGTTAAGCTTTGGTCCCCAAAGCTGACTGATTACACAGACATGGATAGCAAGTGAAATGGTTTCTGTTTTGTTTTTTGTTTTTGAGACAGGGTCTTTCTACACAGCCCTGGCTGTCCTAGAACTTGCTATGTAGACTAGGCTGGCTTCAAACTCAGAGATCCACCTGCCTCTGCCTTTCCAGTGCTAGGATTAAAGGTATGCAACACCCGGCGTATAGTTTTTTTTTTCTTTTTCTTTTTTCTTTTTCTTTCTTTCTTTCCTTCTTTTTTTTTTTTTTTTTTTTTTTTTTTGATAATGTGATGAATCTTTCTGGAAGTAAAAATGAAAAATAAACACTAGCTTACAATGAAGGGAATGTGAACTCTCTCCCAGAGACAGAGACAGGGGGTCACTTCCTTTCTTGGATTTAATTGGGGGGGGGTGATGGTAAAAAGGAACTTAGTTGCCAGAAACCCAGTGAAATGGGTCCTGGGCTAACTGAATCCCCCTCCCAGCTGACTGCACTTGTGAGGGGCCATGCTGTAACCCTCCACACACACACACACACACACACACACACACACACACACACACACACACACACACACCCCATCATCATCATCGGCTCTAATCCCAGCACCTGTGAGGGGGAGGCAGTTCAAAGTCATCCTCAACTACATAATGAGTTTGAGATCAGCTGTGGCTACATGAGACCCTGTGTCTATCACTACCAATCTGCTCGAACTTGCCAGAACACCTGAAAACACTCATCTGGTGTGGGGGTGGCAACACCCCTGTGCCCACCTGTGCATGTCAGAAATCTTCCATTTGTTTGAGATAAGGCCTCTCACTGCTTTAGCCTCCTGCACCCTCCCCTTCCCTCCATGTCCTGGGCTCCGGGGCTGGAATTCTGCTTAGACTAAGGCAAGTGCTTTACCCATTGCCAATGCCTCACCTGAGATTCTCATAAGAACTCAGAACGCCAAGGTTCTTGAAGGGATCCTTTCTGTGTATGCCTGGGGTCTTCTGAAGAAGGATCTGAGACTGGGATTTTTCATGATACATTCACTCTCTGTAAGACTCATAGGCTAAGAATCACCCTTAGAATTCTCCCGTTTCTGTAATACACTCTGCCTTTCACAAGCACGGCTTGGCATCCCTAGCCTGAAAATTCAGAATGTTCCAAACTCTGAAGCCTTTTGACTATCTACAGGTTTCCACAAGTGGACAATTGCAATCCGATTCCTGGGTTCAACCCCAGGCAGTGCAATAAACAAACATGAAACAATAATTGAGAAAAACAAGCAAACAAGACACGACCTACCGAAGATGAAGTTGTCAGGCCGGAAAAGTTGCCCAAAAGGCCCAGACCTCACACTGTCCATGGTGCCCGGCTCCAAGTCCACCAGGGCAGCCCTGGGCACATACTTCTGAGCTGGAGGGGGGAAGCCCACAAAAGTTACTTCCAGGATTCTGGAAAAACCAACTTTTCAGCAAGTCCCACCAGCTTAGAGCCGCCTCGCTAGGATAACCAGTGTCTTTTCAGAGAGGGCACTGTGCTTTCTCCCAAAGAATCTTTACCTTGGGATGAGGGACTACTAGACCATAAGCAGAACCAGTGAGAGAAACTCTCCTGCCAACTGCATTTTCCCAGTTCCCATCACACAGCGGTACTTCCGTGGTCTAGCTACATGGAAATAATCAAGGTCCGTGGCAGCGAACTGCCCTTCTGCTTTTTGGCACCTGCCCCATTCCTGTGTGTGAATGTATGTGCATTCGAGCTGTCTGAGCATCTCTCCTTGGTGCAACTCAGGGGTTCTGTGTCCCTAGAAGTTCGCTCATTTAAGCACGAGTGCCTGTGTAGCCCTGCATGACACCAGGGCAAGCAGTCGTTCCCAAGTGAGGGTGGGCTTTAGTGGACCTCGAGGAAGTGTCCCACCACCACTCCTGCACTTGGCCAAATAGAGGAAAGGGTGTCACAGAGGTCACACATGATTCAGAGGAAGTGCAGTGTACATTGGAGAGTCTCTCCCAGCTGCCCAGAACCTCCATGTCTAGGTGTTCCAGGTCTACTTAAATGAATATCCCATGATTCATGTCTACCGCCCTTCTCAGTTCTGGATGAACAGGTGGGAAGTGACTAAAAATCTGGTGACTCCAGAGACTATCAATGTCATGCCACGGGAGTGCCTGCCCGCGTCATTTCTGGGTGCTCTTTTGTTTTGCAAGGTGCGTGACACTTTTTTATAATAAAAATTACTAAAGGACAAGAGGCGCTATCATTCCCAAACTGGGATTACTCAGGGTCTGGAATTTTACTAATCTCCCCGTTAATTACTCAGAGCTGTCTGCAATTTTAGCGTCAAGTGAACATAATTTTAGATGAAGGCCCAGAAAAAAAATCACTTAAACAAGTGTTTTTCAAAATTTTAGCCCAGCATCCCTAATAAATGTAGCATTTAACGTTCCCTTCCATTTAGTTACTCTGCTCCGTTTTTTAAAAGCTTAAGAAAAATGATGGCCTGGGACCGCTGGGGTGATTTCACAACCTCAACAATGATCGTCTGGTTCAAGCCTCAGGGCCTTCAGGATAGGCGGGATCCCACAGTTTGAACAGACCTAGAGCGAGTTTCCCGCTGCAGGGGGAGCGAGGGAGTGGCTGGGCATCAGCTCCATCCCGCCCGAACTTTTCCCTGAGCTAACTCTCCGGGCACCGAGACCGCACCCCGAGCACCTTCCTCTCTGGGTAGCCCGGGGTCCGGCCTGGGGACGGTCGGGTACTGTCCGGGCAAGCCCGAAAGGAAGCAGGGAAGGCCAGGTGCCGGCGCCGGAGGCCGGGTGGCGCGGGTGGGGGTGGGGGGAGAACGGCCCGCAGCCGTGCGACTCACAAGATGACTCATTGTAGTAGACGCTGATCCGCTCCAGCTGCAGCGCTGAGTCGCCCACGTAGCCTCCAGCCGGATCGATGCCGTGCTCATCGCTGATCACTTCCCAAAACTTGCGAGAGAGCGGCGAAGGGACAGAGAGTTAGACCCGGAGCCCAGAGAGCCCCCGCCACCCAGAGAGCCCAGGCCACCATGCCCCCCCCCCGCCCCGCCCCGGGACCTGTGGCCAGCTCTGCTGAGCCGGCTCCCGGAGCCCTCAGACTCTGGGTCGGAATCCCGAGTCGGTGCGAGGAGACCCGTGGCCCACTCTTCCGGCCGGGTCACGGGGGTCAGCCGCAGGAACCTGGGGCCCACTCCCCGGGGCCAGCTCTCGAGGGCGCACCCTCCGGGGCCGGTGGCCCACTCTCAGATCGGGTTCTGGAGCGCACTCTCTGGACCCCGCAGTTAGGACTGGGGGCCCACTTCGAGCCGGATCCCAGGACCAGTGGCCCACTCTCTGGGCTAGAGCCCCGGGTCTGGCCACGAGGACACAGGGCGGGCTCTCCGGGGCTTGCCCCCCCCAGGAGTGCGCAGTGTCAGTCTGGCTCCGAGAAGCAAGGAGAGGTCTTCCCGAGGCCGGTGACACTCACTGCCCACCTTGGTACCGATCTGGTTCCCGCACTGGCCCGCCTGGATGTGCACAATCTCCCTCATGGCGGGTGCGTTTGCGCTCCGGCGCTGGCTCTCCCGACGACAGCGTGACTGCGACCGCTGCGCGCTCCCGGGACTCGACCCTAATGGGCTCTCCGCCCTTGTCTTCCCAGCCAATGGCAGTGGGCTGTCCCGCTTGCAGTCCCCGCCCCGCCCCCAAAGCTAGCGGGCTGATCCTTGCCTTGGGCTCGCGGTTCCAACAGCTGGAACCCAGGGGGCTCGGCCCGGAGAAAAAGAGTGGACTGGCGGCGACTCCCGAGGAGGAGGTGATGGGAAGCCTAAGCTCTCACTGTACCACCCTTTGTTGTCCCCTCGGTGCTGTTGGTACCCAGGCTATTGGTCGCCTACTAGCTGGATGAGTTATAACTCTTTCAGGAGAGCTGAGGGAGCCACCCATAGCCCAGCGGGTGGAGGGGGACCTTTGGAACCCTGTGGATTCGTTCGGGTGTCTCTCTACCCGAGGTACGCGTGTTTAGCTTGCACCTCTCCGCCTGCCTCCCCAGAACCATCCATACGCTGACTCCACCTCTGCATTTGACTAACAGCAGCCTCGTCCACACAGCCTCCAATTCCTAACGCGGTGGGAAAGCGCTTGCCCTCTAGGGCTGGGGCTCGCTCTCACCCTCACCCTCACTCCCTCACTTTCGAAGAAAAAACAAAACAAAACTGAGCGCTGTCGAGAGGGAGGCGCACAAGCACACAGGGGGCAGTGCTGTTGGAGGGAGAGGACTAGGAGGAAAGGGACCCAAAGAGCTTGTCTTTCTAGTCGCATCAGAGGCAAGGGGCAAGATGAGGGAGTGCCCTGCAACTGATAATCAAGGCCCCAAGTTTCTGATACGATGGTCCTCGAGTCTGTTCTTGACCTCAGCAAATGTCTTTACTACTCCTGGCCATCCCACCCTGGAGGCTGTCCCAGCTCTTCCAGCAAGCAATCCCATGCTGTTTTCAGATGCCCTCACTAACGATAAGGACTGGGCACCAACAGGAAGGGCAGGCATGTCCTGACACCAGGAAAAACAGAATGTTCTGCAATCTCATGGGAGGCTCATCTGGCAATCTGTCAGAGATCTCACCCAAGAACAGGGGAAACACCAGCAGGTGAAAATCCTTAGGGACTCAGGAATAAATCCTGAACAATGGCTGGGGCAGCTTGCTTTTCCATCCTGAGTCCCTAAGGATGTGCACTCATATTTCTTATCTGTGAAAACCGAGGAAATCCTAGAGCGGAGCTTGAGAAGTACTCAGTACTTCTTGAGAAGTACTCAGTACTTCTCAGTGTTTACCTATCCTGCATGAAGGAAGCCCCAGGTCAAATTCCCAGGACTTCATAAAATTAGGCATGGTGATGCATGCTTGTATTTCCAGCACTCGGACAGTTAAGATCAATCTAGGCTAGATATCACATTTGAGGCAAATGGGCTATATGAGACCCTGTCTCCAAGTATGAGAGAGATATGTGGGTGGACATGTGTCCTGGGTAGAGTCACCTGAAAGGAGGGAACCCTAATTGAGAAAATGCCTCCATCAGATCCATCTGTAGGGCATTTTCTTAATTAGTGATTGATGGGGGGAGGGCCTAGTCCATTGTGGATGGTGGTCCTAGGTTCTATAGGAAAGCAAGCTGAACAAGCCAGTAAGCAGCATTCGTCCATGGTTTCTGTATCCATTCCTGCCTCCAGGTTCCTGCCCAGTTTTAATTCCTGTCTTGGCTTCCCTCAGTGGATTCTGATTCAGGATATGTAAGCCAAACAAAACCTTTCCTCCTCAAGTTGCATTAAAAAGGTCTGGGGTTTAATCCCCAGCACACACACAAATTTGTGCATATGCTTATGAATGTACACACATACACACCACATCTTTTTTGGTATCTGGAAAGCCAGTGGCAAACTTAGAACTCTACGTCTCCTTGGAGCTTGATGAGGGGGAGACAGTGGGACAGTACTTGAATCTCCCAACTCTCCACTCAACGCCATCCCTCCCCACCCCCAACTCCCCCACACTGGGAAGGATCTCTCCCTTTATACTAACCAGCCTACATCTGATACAAATTCATCTTTTTGCCCACATACCATTCTCCAGCCACCTGGAGGCAAGACAAGGCCCTGAATGCAGTAGGCTCAGGAATCCTGAGGTCTGGGGCCTCAGCACAGTCTAGAACAGTGATTAAAGCCGAACGAGCACATTGGGAAGGCAGCCTGAGGGCTCCCTTAACTGGGTCTAGGGTAGCAGTAGTTCTGACCCTGACCATGGCCTGCTGCTGGGGGCCAGAGCCTGGTCACCCCATCAGCTCCATATCTAGCTTGTTATGCTCTTCTAGTACATGTTGCCTTCCATAAATCACTGTCCAAACTTGATACTCCAGAAGTTCTCTAATCCCTGAAGCACTCCTACCCATGTCAGTGAGCACATGGATATAGTTATGGTCCAATTCAAGTCCATCAGCCTGCAGTGACCTGTAACTAAAAGGCGCCTGCTCCGGCTTACACAAATTCACAGACAGACAGAGCTCCCTCCAAACCCAGAAGCTGCCTGTTGCATATCACCTGAGTATGTTACAAACTTATTCTTCACTTACTGATTCTGAGCCTGGCCTCAAACTCAAGATCTCCTGCCTTGGCTTCCTGTGATTAGAGGCATGTGCCACCACGCCCAGCTCTTTTATCCTTGTTTTACTTTTTTTTTCCCCTAGAGACAAGGTTTCTCTGTGTAGCCCTGATTGTCCTGGAACTCACTCTGTAGATCAGGCTGGTCTCAAATTCACAGAGATCCACCTGCCTTGCCTCCTGAGTGCTGGGATTAAAGGTGTATGACCCCACTGCCTGGCTGTATGAGGGATGGAGCAGCAGCCTCTGCTGTACCAGGCAAGTGCTACCACAGAGCCTTACCCTCAGGGCATCTATTCCATTTTAAAGAATTTTTGTATCAAGAAAACAAACAAACAAACTTATTTTTAATCGACAAAAGGTTATATGTGTATCACATGTCCCATTTGCCTTGATACATGTATATATTATAAAATGATCAAATCAGCCAGGCATGTTGGTGGCACATGCCTTTAATCCCAGAATTCCAGAGGCAGAGGCAGGCGGATCTCTGTGACAGAGAAACCTTATCTTGAAGAAAAAACAAAAAATAAAAAATCCTTCATGCTACTAGAAAGACTTCTGGCAAAGACAGCTCACACTTTCGTGGGGATGATCCCTGATAGTTCTGTCATAAGGATAGTGGGCCCAGCTCCCTGACAGGTTTGGGGAAGGGGTCTGTGAACCCACACTCCACAGGCCTGAAGAAAGACCTCCTTGGGACCCTGACTGTTTTCATCACAGAATCAAGACCAGATGGGGCCAAGGAGATGGCTCAGTGGGTACACGTGCTTATCACATAAACCTGATAGTCTAACTTCAATTTTGGATCCTCCTAGGGAAGGAGAGAAATCAGCTTCTGAGAGTTGTCTTCTAATTGTGCACAATTCCCCCCTACACACACACAATAAATAATAAAACACATTTTAAAGAACCGCACTGCTTATGAAAGATACCATCATTGTAAGATGGGAACTGTGTTGTGCCCTTGTGTGTATAATGCAGAGATATGAGATGTGCCCTCAGACCCTTTAATTTGCAACCAAGCAATTTCCTACCCAAGATAACGAGTGTTCTGTTCCGAATTTTAGCTAGGAGTAAGGAGAGAGAAGGTAGGGGAGAAAGAGGCACTTATGACTACTGTCCCCCCCAAAGGCCTTCCCAAGAGCCTCTGACTTGTCTTTTTTACAGCCCTACCTCCCTGTTGGGTCCCTCAGAGACAGAACCCAGAGCTCAATGGCCTTCTCTGTAGAAGTTTGAGGGTCAGGGCCATGTCAGTGAGGTGCATCTCTTTCACTATAAAACATTATTTTTAGTGTTTAGTGATGATTCATGATTTGCTCACACTTTTGTTCTAGAAATAGCTAGAGCTTGCAAAATGCCAGCCCTAGTGATAGGTGCTATTGGTCATCCTTAGCAGGTGCTGGGAACATTAGAAACAGATAAAAAATCATTCTTGGATGTGGGCCAGGAATGCCCAGCACACCCTGGATCCTTAGCTTAATTCTCATCACTAGAAAAAATTAACTATGTACATATATGAAATATAAGAAGTTGAATGCAGAATAGTTTACCAGAGGCTATGTAGTCAGGAGGGAAGGATGGGTGGAGATTGATTATCAGTTTTAGGTAGATGTTGGTGGGCAAGTCTGTGGGGCAGGTGGTCCTGGGTAGTATAAGAAAGTAAATTAAGCTGGGTGATGATGGCATATGTCTTTAATTCTAGTACTTGAGAAGCAGAGGCAGGTGCAGCTCTGTGAATTTGAAGCCAGCCTGATCTACAGAGAGAACTCCAGGACAGCTAGGGCTGTTACACAGAGAAACCCTGTCTCATAGAACAAAACAAAAAAGAAAAGTCAGCAAAGTATGAGAGCAAGCCGGCAAAGTGGAACCCTCCATGGCCTCTGATTCAGCTGCCCTAACTTCCCTTCAGGTTAGATGTTAAGCTGTCAGCGGAAATAAACCCTTTCTTCCCCGGAGTTCATCACAGTCATAGAAAGCAATCTGGAACAAAGCGGTAAATGAACTTACCCGGTTTGTACATTATACCGTGTGTACTTGAATCAAACCATCACATGGCGGCCCATTGACATGCATGCCATTTTTATAAAATAGAAAAATAATAAGAATGATGGTCCAGTGATTTCAGTCATTCTTCATTTGCTTTTTTCTGTTTGTTTCTTTCCTTGAATGAGGCATAGTCTCAGTCTGGTTCCAATCTCACAATCCTCCTGCCTCAGCCTCCCAAGTGGTAAGATCACAGGAACGCACCAAGGCACCCAGTCACGGTGGAATTTCCCCCCCCCCCCCATTACTGCTAAGGAAGAAGGGTGGAGACAGAAGGCTGGCTGTAAGGTGTGAGGGGACAGGTAGGAAGTTCCGTGGAGGAGCTCTCCAGTAGGATATATTTGGGTTGACCCAGCAGACCCTTCAGAGAAGTTAGAAATGGACTGGCTGGATGCCTAGGCCTGT